TGATCCAACTGAATGTGGATGGAAATTATCAAACAATATCATTGATATTACATGCAAACAAAATACTGCTGAAGATCATTCAAAGATGGCTGTAACAGTACATAGAGTAGGAATTGCCAGAAGTACAAGTCAGGTTTAGAAGAGGCTGTGGTAACAGGGATATCATTCCTGGCTGAAAGTAAGGAATATCAGAAGAATGTCTATTTGTGCTTTATTGACTATGCAAAGACATTTGACCATGTGGATCATGACAAGTTGTGGCTGACATTGAGAAGTATGGGAATTTCAGAGCACTTGATTGTGCTCCTGAGGAACCTGTACCTAGATCAGGAGGCTGTTGTGTGAACGGAGCAGAGAAATACTGCATGGTTTGGAACTGGAAGGGAGTGCTTCAGGAATGTATCCTATCCCCATACCTATTCAATTTATATGCTGAGCAAATTATCCAAGAAACTGGACTCTATGAAGAGGAGTGTGGCATCAGGATTGGAGGGAGAATCATCAATAACCTGTGTTATGCAGATAACACAATCTTGTTTTCTGAAAGTGAGGAGGACTTAAAGTACTTGTTGCAGAAGATCAAGGAATGCAGTCTTCAGTATGGATTGTGTCTCAGTATCAAGAAAACAAAGATTCTTACTACTGGATCTATAGGCAGTGTCAAAATGGATGGAGAGAAGATTGAAACTGTCATCAGGTTCATCTTGATTGGATCCACAATTAACTCCCTTGGTACTAGCAGTAAGGAAATAAGGAAATGCATTGCACTGGGAAAATCTGCAGTTAGGGAACTTTCCAAATTATTGAGGACTGATGTTACTTAGAGGACTAAGGTGTGTCTGATTCAGGCCATAGTCTTTCCTATTACTAGCTATGCATCTAAGACAATAAGGATGACAGAAAAAGAATTGACACCTTTGAGCTGTGGAGTTGGAGAAGAGCACTGAACATCCCATGGACAGCCAAGAAAATGAATAGATATGTCTTGAAGAGGCTGCAGCCAGAGTGCCCTTTGGAGGCAATAATGATGAGGCTTTGCCTCAGATACTTTGGACATATTTCTAGGAGGTGCTGTTCCTTGGAGAGGGACAGGATATTGGGAAGGGTGAAGGGTGTGTGAAGAGTGGAAGACCATCAACCAGGTGGATTGACATGGTGACTGCTACAATGGGCTCTTGTGTGTCAGGAAGTGTGAGGATGGCACAGGACAGGATTAGGTTCACATCTTTTGCTTAGAGGGTCGCTATGAGTCTTACTTGACTCACAACACCTAACAACAACAATAACAATGCTGGCTCCAATAGAAATCTCTTTCTATTATTGAATGTAGACAGACAAAAACAAAACAAAACAATGAAAACATAAGGTGGAGATAATTCTAGGGAGGAAATCTAAAGCACAAGAGGTCACTGACAGCAGATTTTCCTAATACAGTTCATCTTTTGATTTCCTGACTGCTAATGCGAAACCTATACTTGGACCAGGAAGCAGTCGTCATAACAGAGCAAGGGAACACTGCATGGTTCAAAATTGGGAAGGGCGTATGCCAGGGATGCATCCTATCTCCATACCTTTTCAAC